AATTCTGTTGGTTTGTTTTATCACTGTTTATGTTAGTTTATTGTTTTACTTTATATTTGTTAATTAAATGTTTAGTTTTGTGTATTTGTTTAGTTTTGTTTTTCTCATTATTTTTTCCTTCATAACTTCCCTCCATTTCATGTATCTGTGCATAAAAAAATTCCTCGTGTCATTTCAAAGACAATTTTTGCAGCTAAAAATTCTTGACTCCAGTTTCTAGTTCCTACCTAGGTTTTCACCAGGGTCTAGACTCTGCTCCCAAACTCCTAGACCCATGTCCTTTCGATGATCAAGTGAGTGCTTGTCAAAATGTCATAGATACAATGTCTTTGTTTCCAGGTCATGATGGCCACTACGGAGCTAGAAACCTGCAGGTCGAAGCATCAACGAGATATCTCCGAGTTACGAGACCAACTACATCGTGCTAACATAGCAAGTGACCGAGATCAGGCGCTTAGGGAGAAGGTTTTCAATGAAGCAAAGGCTGAAGTTATATCGTTGAATAAAAAGGTAAACATCACATGTAATTATTGCGTTAATTAGTGTTTTACTGTGTGCGAGCATGTAGTGTCTGTCCTCTAATATAAGCAAAATCATCAGCCAATGAGATCGCCCGTTATATATCAAATATGGTGACTATTTGTGCCACTGCTTGGAGTTCACTGCCTGGACCTTTTTTTCCTTTTTGTTGTCTGGTCATGGGGCTAAAGGCTGTTCAGATAACTCCGCTAGCGCCCTAGCCACTTAGATTCTCATGTCTTCTTCTGTATCTCATCTTGGGTGGCTGAGGGAATACTACAATAGAGGTGGGCTCCTGGCAACTAAATTAGAGGAGGCGATTTATGTCTCGTTTATGAGCCACTCCCCAAGAAAGGTTTACCGATACCCTTATAATGACTTATATGATACATATATGATACCCTAATAATCCCTTGAAATGGTATGGCGTTTATGGCTGATTAGACAACGAAAATAAGATCAGTCTTGATCTCTCGTTTTTCATCTTTTAAAATAAGCCAGCCATACACTGTACTGAGCTCTGTATCGTACTGGTTACGATATATCAGTGACTTGAAAGTTTTCAAAAGTATTGATATTGTTCCAAGACCTCTAGTGCTTTTTATACACCAAACGTCTTTTCAATACTTACTTCCTCTAAAATATATTCTTCATTTTACCTTTTCCAGTGTTGCTGTCTTGGTATCTTTTCCTTTTTCGTCCTCAAACTAGTCATTCTCGTTTTCAGTTCTTTCAGTGTTTTCAAGTTACCTTGTTCTTGTTCGTCGTCATTGTCTTCGATGCATATTATGTGTAATTGTAGTCAATAAGTCCTTCCTCCAAATGTTATTTCACTTTTCCAGCTCCTCCATTGTTCTCATGTCATCTTTTCTTGTTTTCTTCATCATCTTCTTCCCTTTAATGCAATTAGGACATAGATGAAGTTGATTTAAGCTTTCCTTCTATTGAAAGTGCTGCTACTCTTGAAGTGTTCGGTGAAGTAAGTACTAAATCATCGCATGTAATTTCCATTCTCTTCCATTAATTTCTCACAACGTTAATCGTGTAATACTCTTTGCTTTCGACGAGAAAGAAGTGATTTACTCTTACATTACTGAGGCAAATTCAGCCTCAATTCCTGAAGTTTGTAAAACCTACTCTTATATCAAAACTGATCAATTGATTGTGATGACGTGCTTAACATCCACAAAAAGATCTTTGCAATTTCTCTCAAATAAACTATTTTAACCACCGGTAAAACTCGTGTTGGCGATTGGACAAAATATGTTTTGATATCTGCTTTTCTTTGCTTGTTTTTAAGTTCTTCTTTTTATTTCCCTTCAATTTTCTTGATTGTAAGTCTGTGCTTGCAAGTCATGTAGTGACTTTCGTGAAAAGTTGCATGATGAACCGGTATCTTCTTTAATAAAACACTTCAGGCTGTGATAACATATCATCTATTAATTCTTATTGAATACACAATGGTTTAAGATCGGTTTGGTTGTCTTCTTGCACAATGATTTAAGATTGGTTTAATTGTTTCGTTATTACAGCTTGAGGAGAAAACACGCCGAGTCCGTGAACTAGAGCAGGCCAGTCAACTGTGGGAAAAGCGAATCACCGACCTTGAAACACAGAAAATGGCGATGGCTATGAAAGTACAAGAAGCACGTGACTCGTTAGACGAACATGTAGCAAGACTAAGCAAACAGGTAAAAATGAACTCAAAGCAAGTTAAACGCTGCGTAAAACAAGAAAAAAGGAAAAAAACGAACACTAAATGATTTCTAGTTGATAGTTAGAACACATGAAAGGTGGAGGAGATAAAGCGGTTAAAATAAAATGAAAAAACTCAATGCCACTCTAAAAAAATAAAGCTAAAAAACAGCAAATACAGACGAATGGAAAAAATCGCGCACTGTAAAGGTTGTAAATTTGATGTAAATATGATATATTTTTTTCGATATCGGATAATATACGATTGATAGTCCTTGAGTCGTTAATTAGTGTTTAAATAAAAAAGGAAAATTAAAATCTCGCAAGATATATGCAGAATATTTGAAACCGAATTACAAGTTTGCTTAGCAATTAAAAAACTGAAATACTACGTATTTCAAACGTTCATGGTATGCTCATGGTAATTAGTTGAATAAATAGGCAGATATTTGTATTGTAATTGGCTTTGATAAAGTGAAAATAACTAAAATAAGTCAGTAAATAAACGAATAAAGTAAAATTAAATAAATGCTTTTAAAAAGTTAAACTCGAGGCGCTCAGCATGATTTGTAGTCGAATGCGTATCATGCTGTGGGGGCGCCCCTTGAACTCACAGGATCTCCTGAGATCCTAATGCGCATACACTAAGGTTTGGTTTTCGACTTCATCGTCCCTTCCTTTCTCGTATTTGTTCCTCCGTTCTCCTTTCCTTCGTTTGTCCCTTCCCCCTTTGCGCTTCCCTCAATCCTTTCATAGTCATCCCTCCTTCCTTCCTTCTCACCGTTCTTCCATACCTCTTTACTCTCGACCACTTTCTTTCGCCGTTGATTAGCTAAGGTTGCACCACCAGTGCTTTCTCGCCTTGTAGCTTGCTTTGMTACTAKTTAKCTTCTTCGTTTCTTTCTCTAACATTCACCATTCTTTTCCAGCTCCAGCACTCTGAGATGAGAAACACACGCTCTGACACTCTGGTACAGGAATTATACATAGAAAATGCTAAGCTTACGAAAGCGCTWCAGCAGACAGAAGCGAATGAGAAGAAGGCAGAGAAGAATTTGAGGCAATTAATGGAGCAGAAACGTGCTTTGCAGCGAGTCATATCGAAACTTTGCGGCGCGAACGCCATCGCGTAAAAACAACTCGTTATCTTGACATGCTAAAAAACATAAACTACATACATTCCGCTCACGGAAAAACACTTTTAGGATTTTATATAAAAGAACTAGGTAATTTTAAAGTTGATCGCCAACATGTGTGCGTTGTTTTTGTTACAAAACATACTAAGATAGCAATTTCCCTTTCAATATTCATTTTCATTTCAATTTCCCTTTCACTTCTCATTTTTCGTTCATTCATTCATTTCACAGTTGTTTCTATTTGTAATGTTTGGAAGCATGTCAAGTTACTTATAGTACAATATATTTATCTTGAAATTAGTTAGCGACTTAAGATATATTTATGGATAGTCTCATTTGAAACTCGCTTTCCATGCACACGGTTAGAAATCATTTTACTTCTTCATGAAGGAGTATATCTTTCAAAGACAATCTCAGGCCGTTGTGTATATAATTCGGCCTTGTCTATCTACATTCAATTCCCATTTGCAACTCGTCATTCGCAAAGGGTTAAAATATAAGTTGATTTGTTCGCGTTTTACTATCAATCATTCTCACATTTTGATAGGCCTCAATGAATTCCTTGTAAAATATTATGATTATTGTACAATTTGCTACAGAAAAATTCTATTTTGTATTTTTCTACCCCTTTTATCGTCCTTAGAATTTTATCTCGTTTATACAGGTTACAATTGTAAATATCACTACAAATATATTATATCGAAAAATTCAATTAATGGAGGAAAATAAGGACATTTTGCACTGCATATAAGACYGAGGCTGCGTGTGCACGTATCCGCCTGTTATCCTTCATGATTTTGCAAGGTTTCTTGTGATTGGAGGAATAAAACAATGCTCATTGTTTCCTYGTTCTTAAATYCWATTGTTTYCTTTTGTTCAACAAATAGCTAGTCAACCAATCGGATAAGATCTTGCAAAACCGCGAAGGGATACCCGTATTCGGGCATTATTTTTAATCGTATTGTATGCCTTAACGAAAACGGTTGTTTCCGAAACGAAAAAATTGTGCAGTTTCGGAAATATGCGGATATCTGTAAACGCAGCCTGAGGAAAGCTATACAATTTTCAATAATGTTATAAATGTAGGTGTTTTTCAACATAGAATGCCTAAGTTCCTATTTCTGGTCAAATCAAATATTCCTAACAACTAATTAAATTCTCTCGAGTCTTTGCGTTTTGTTCGGCCATACTGCTGTGAACTTCCACTAAAGCAAACAGCACTAGTTTGGTTTATAGATACACTTTTTGTTTACGTTATACCGTGCAATTAATCGTTAAGATATATATACAAATAGTATTAAAGTTTTTTATCAGTTGTATTTGGAGTTTGATGTGCTTATACGAGGATATTCTGGGGTTATTTCCCCCGACCCCTCCTTCCCTCGGAATTATTCTGGGTCGTTGGATGGCAGTAAAACAAAATTATGATTGGCTGCCTTGCCAAAATCCCTTTTAGTTCAATAAAAAAAGAAATAGAAAGATTCAGATAATGAAAGAAGTTCCATAAAAAAAAAAAGAAATAGAAAAATTCTGAAAATGAAAGAAAAAAAGAAATGAAAGAAAAAATACTAATGAATGCATGGAACTCATTCTCAAAAAAAAAGAAAGAAAATCAGAAAGAAATCAATCCATTCTCCGCAGTTCTAAATCTCTCCTTTTAATGTATTTTATTGGATTAATCAACCCCCTTTTGAATGCTCAGGATACGCCGCTGAATAGGCAGGTTAATGCATGATGATTTTCAGCGTTTGTTAATCCGGTTGTCAAACGTGCTGTTTAAACAGTAAACCAAAGCTATTATTACCACAACTCGGCAGTAACCCGGATGCTCAAAAGCCCGTATGTATTGATACTGCAACATCCTACGTACAAAGGGATATTTGTATAATTTATATGTATAATCGTAGAAGCCCATGTATTCGTATCTTTGCAGATGGATATATGGGTGTTTCATTGCCAAACCCATATTAAAATCCCATTTAATGAATTAAGAGGTAAGTGAAGGTAATAAATGTTTCTCATTGCTATTATTCATCTCATTTGAATAAGTTTAATTGAGAAATATAAACAAATGGGACAGATTACACAGTTTGACGTTGTTGTTAATGTTTTATCAGATATAAAAAGCAGTGGTTTTTAGGGAAATTAGGTCTTTATCGAGCTTATAATTGGTAACACCGTGGTTACATATTTTTTGACGTTATACATCACAAATCGTGATATGCCATGCAATTACAAATTCGAATTTATTTCTAGATTTGTACTTGAAACAGTTGAAAAACAATTAAAACATTACCATTATCATATTCCACTATATAAGGCATAAATTCTTTTTTTATTTGCACTGAAAAGAACGAAAAAATCGCTGAATCAATGATATTTACATACGCAAGTTTACCTTTTTTACTGTACTGAATTCAAATAATCTTTCACAAATTAACTATTTAAAAAAAATCACGGCAAATCAAGCTATCCATTTGCTTTCTTTTAGTGTATTTAGCTAGCTCCAAGCTAATTTATATTTGAATACGGAATCTGTCCGAAATCCTGTGTTTTAAAAATCAAATTTTGACCAGTATTTCTTTTGCTAAATTAACACTTTAAAATGTGACAACTTGGCGATGTATGCGGTCCGAGTATTGTTAACTTTATAGTTAAACAAGTTGAGTCGTTCCTTTTTATTTATCCTAAAGCTCTCAATGCCAAAATACACATATATTTGAAGACCGAGAGAGTACTACGGATAATAATGACTCAGATAATAAAAAATTACGTTTATATAGTCGTTTTTTAGGATGATCGAGAACATTTCTTTTTCAATAATAGCAATTATATGGGAGATCAAATAAATAAGCATTTGAAGATTTCTCTCAATAGATCTGTGAAGTGTATTTATCTCAGATAACATAGCAAAACGACGCGCAATGTACTTATGTCGATCTGTTAGTACACTTAAAGCTGAATTTTCCTTTTAAATATCGGTGGGACATGAGGGAAGACCGCAGTGGGTTCGTCCCATGACACTTACTGAGGCTGTTTAGCACTTTGAATCCAATATCACTGAGAAAAAAATCGCGCGCTTTAAAGGTTGTAAATTTGATGTAAATATCATGTAAGTCTCCAAAATTATCATTTACATCAAATTTACAGAATTTTGGACACTTACATCATATTAACATCAAATTTAGAACCTTTAAATCGCGCGATTTTTTCCAGTGTGTGTAATAGGTGGAATCCAGTGAATGCTTGCGAAATCTTTCATGGAATCTGGAATCCAGGATCGCTCCGGATTCCGTGTCATGCGGCGAACATAATGATCATGTGTTCCATTCTATCAATTCAACGTGTGCTGATTAGTAATTCCATTCAATCAATAGACATATTACTCAGTGAAAAGTGTTCATTTGATCAGGTGTTCCATTTGGTAAATAAACTCACAACGATGACCATAATTTACGATGGAAAATGCCAAAAACGGTCTGAAATAGCTTAAATCTGACACTCGGTTTAAGTGTTAATAAACAACTTCATGCTTTCAATCACGATTAGAGTCAATATTTGTATTTATGATAACGAGCGCGCTTTGTACTGTTTGTGTATTCCTACTAGCAACTTACTCTACCCCAGTCCTCATCATCATGTGATGAGCACATGTACAGGTAACCCACTCAAATGTTTTTATATTCCTTCTTTGCAGCCAATGAATTCTTTAATTAGAAGAAAAGTTACTTATTTTTATCTTCTTGGCCAATCACGTGATGTCTAGAGGGGGAATAATGCAATCGTCAGGGAGACTAGCAGGTATATGCAGGTACTATGGTGAGGGCTTAACCTCAGGCATTTGACCCATTATCCATATAAGTGATTTCTACATAACATACCAGTGAAATATCCTGACAATATATAGTCCAAAATTAAATAAAACTTAGTGCAAAAACCTACGATATCATTGCCATAAGAAGCTTTGCAAAATGTCTTCAATCTGTAAAAAGTGTTCATGGCTACCAGACGCAAAATCGACTTCTACAGCAGTTTAAAAAAAGCCAAAAATAAGAATAGAAATCCCACTGTGTTAGTTTATTTATTATTGATGAAAACCAAAAACCAGAATTTTGAACCAGAGAATTTGTTATTTTGGAAAACTGTCAAATCCATTGTAAACCTTGCAGCTTGTTAGACAGCAGCGAGCAACAAACTTCCACGAAGAAGAATTGCTGGAAAAAGATACTTGGATGATATAATGAGGTATTATTTCAATTCTAATATCAAAATGACCAATTGCACAGGGATTATCTTGCTGTGATTTTAAGACATTTCTGGAAAACCAACACGAACTATAGTAGCTTGCAGACTTTGATTTTCGCATAAGCATTGTGCTATGATGAAAAAACGTTTTCACCAGCTCCAGTTGTTCATGGTGCAATGTTTTTGGAGCTCAACTATATCTTTGTAATTGCTATTTCTACCTTTTCTTTATAACTAAAATTACATCTTCTATCATGGAATTTACCTTAAAATACATATGTTAACTTAAAGCTATTTGTTGCATTTCAATCTTTTTAGTATACCTTCCACATGCAATCTTATTCTTGCGACGAAGTTCCAGAACATTTATAAAGACTCATAAATTTGCAAGCGCTTGTAAAACAAAAATTGTAAATAATATAAATAATAATTATGAATTATTATTATTATAATTATTATGGTTATTGTTTGATAAATGGTAAAAGTTAACAAGTTTCTTCTGTCATTTCAGCTGACATTCCCAGAAACCTATAAGTTTCTCTACAAATCAAGCTTCTCGATACTTGGCAATACTTTGATTTTACATCAATTCAAAATGAACAAGCCCAGGCCGAGAAGAACCCGACATCGGCAAAGCTCTTCGCATATTCCCGTGCGCAGCAGCTCAAGCAATGAGCAGACTCAAAAGACAACTTACAGCGTTCGCGYAGACGGCTCTAGTGGTGAAATAATATCCAGCAACTCCAACATGGAGACAGCAGAAGTAATCCATAGCTCACGATCTTATTCAAGCAACGACGAATCTAAGGAAATGACTCAACAAAATTATGGAGAATCGCGTTACGATGATAGAGTTTACATTAAAGGGGGATTAAAGACGGAGGAGAAGCTTGGTAGTCCAAGATACACCGCTGGCAACGAGAAKTGTCAAAAGATAAGTGATTTGCGAATGAGCTCTGATAGTGAAGGCGTCTACAACGAGTCGAACGAGAATATCAGTTCAAGAAGTTTCTCTGGAGACGGGGAATATAAAAAGACTGTTTATAATTTTAGGTCCGATTCTGAYGGAGAAGCCATTTGCAATGATRGYAGTGAGAAAATYGTTTGTAAAACAACTAAYTTTTGTGGAGACGGAGAGCACCTGAACACTGTCTATCAAATACAAACAGATTCTGATGGAGAAGGTGTTTTCACCAATGAAAATTCAAAGAATGAAGAAAGTGTTATCTATACATCTCGGTCCGATGATGGTGAAATCACAACCGTGCGACAGACGTTTAAGATTGTAGGAACCATTGACCAAGACAATAGGTGCTCGCGGGAATCCCTAACCAGTAACGTTGACAGTGCATTTCACGGCTCTCTTGACTTTCTCGACAAYCTGGATGAAAACGATACAAAGTACTCGAGYAAGAAAATTWCCAAAAGTGTCAGTTTTGAAGATGTTGGCTCGGACAGTGTTAGCAAACTTTGGATTAAGCCAAATGATAACATAAAATTGGAAATGCAACAAGAGGTGGGAGAGGACGAGGAGCTTTTAAGGGAAGAACTTCTTCGAATCTTTGATCGAGAGAGACTCACTTTGGGCTCTTTCTTTAAGAACAAAATGGAAGACTTGGCACGTGACTGCAGACAGCGCGAACTTGATGCGGAAGAGCATTCGCGCGCTGAAATAGCTGAGATGGAAAACGAAATGGCGCGAGARAAAGCTGAAATGCAAAAGGTCTTTGCTGAAGAAATTGCTKCCCTGACTCGAACCTTTAACGAAGATAGAGCGAGTATAGAGAGCTATTACAAAGAACAAATCAAAGAACTACGCGACCAACACGCAAACGACCAACAAGAAATGAATCAAAAGTTTGCGYTTGAAAAATCCGAACTCCAAGAAAAGCTCGAGTCAGAATTTGAAGCGGTTTTAAGAACAGAGATCGGTGAGTCTCGGAAATTGTCCTTGCACGAAATAAACCAAAAAGAGGAGATGTACWACACGGCAAAGCTTGAAATGGAACAGAAGCACAGCAAAGAGCTTCATGAAGCCGAGATGAATACGAAGAAAGTCAAGGATGAGTTAGAGATGATGTTTTCTCAAGAAAAGGCGAGATTAGAGGAAAGAAKTAAGGATTTGGAACATCAGCTGCTGCAAGAACGAGAATTAAGGTGAGATTCACTATAATTATCGTTTATTATGTCATAAACTGTATCAAATCATGCTGCCATCATCTTATTACTGAAAAACTTTCTTATTTGCTAAATACTTTCCCAAGCGCCAACTTTCGGCAGCCTCGGTTTTGCTATAATGATGGTTATCTCAAAACCAAACGGCTTTTGTCAACATAATGACGGCTTTTTTGGAGCATCGCATTCATTTTCCCTTGCTGGAGATTTTTTTGCATTCTCATTTGCCATTCATCCAGAACATATCAAAACTTGGCTACCTTGAGACACAATGATGGCGCCGGCTTCCTTCTAACCTCTTTTTACAAGCAAGTAACTAATCCAATGGATAACGGACATCATTTTAGTGTTGACTCATGCAGAATGATCATTATTCTGTTTAGGAACAATGTATTTAGCAAGACTTTACAAATGGATCTACTAGGCTTCGGAAAAGAAACATTTTGTCAATAATTATATTGGCACCATAATATAAAACAATACTTTTCAAAAATATAAACATACTAAAATTGGACTGGTCCGATTCAGAGAAAACCTATTATAGTGAATGATTTAATGTAAAATGAGYTTGATGTGACGCTACAGGTGGTCTACTGTTAGTCACAAGAAAAATTTGAAACCTGCAACTGTCATTAAATATAATACCTGCACGAGAAATGGCTTTCTACTTTTCGTGACAGTAATATTTTGGTAAACGTTTTCAGGGAGAGTTTTTAATTGGCATGGGAAACAGAAAATCATATTACATGTAATATATGCAAAGAAATATTTACCGTTGTTCTTAAGGGTTTTTTTTAGAAGGTTGTAATGTTGATTATGCAAACAACTGGTAGCCATTTTATGTTTGTTTGGTTAATGTTTAAAATTGATATCATTTCAGAATTCAGCTGGAATCCCTTCTGGACGAGGAAAAAGAGAATGTGAAGAACGTCGACAACGCAAAGAGGAGCGAGACAGAACAGCTGAAATGTGAACTAGAAGGRTTGCGAGTGGAGCTTGACGAGAAGAGCAGGTCAGCCATAGAAATGAGTAGAATTGAAGAAGAAATACGATCAAATGGGAAAAACGGRCTCAGCGGGAAACTACGTGAAGATGTCGACAAAATCATCGATGAACATAAGCAGGAATTCGAAAGGAAGTATTTATTGGACAAAGAAGAGCTACAAAGAGATAAGGAACGCCAGTTAGAAGAGGAGAAGAAGAAGATCAAGGATGAYGTCGAGTTTGAGAARAAGAGGATTCAAGATGACGTGGAAAATGAACGGAAGAAGATGCGAGAAGAGATTGACAGAGAACGACAAGAAATTCAAATATATCTCAAAAATGGTCGCGCGGTGGACATGAAGCAGAGCGAACAATCTTTGCATACGTTTACAGAACAATCTGAATACAGCGCAAGTGTTTCCTATAACGGCCATAGTAATCAGAACCAAACAAATACCGGTGAATTCAAGGATGAACGTCAAACTAATACCTACGGTGCCTACAGCAGCTWCAAAGGCTTACATACTGAAAGAGATCAGAAAGAACCAGATCAGCGCAAAMCCCAATACAACCCAGCCTTTGGTGATGAAAGTAGCAAGTACCCACAATCTATCAACCAAGAAGAAGTCCCAGACAAGTATGCTTCACTTGCTATTGGAAGTGAAAGATATAGCTCTGCTAACGATGGATCTTATCCAATGGAGCGCAGTGACAGAGGTGAACCATACACACACAATACTGGGATACATGTAACTCTTCAAAATCCCAATGAAAAAAGAAATGACACAGATAACCTTGATCATTTACATGACAAGCCAACATCTGAATATGGAAAAACTTACCAAGTCCAAGTAGATAGTCAAGATATGTTTTCTGCTCAACAAACTGTAGGAAGAGGATACGACAGTGGTGAACAAAACAGTTTCCCAAATGAAGACCATTGGCAGTACCAGTCCAGTTACGAATATGGAAAGCCGCACCAGCAGGTCCAGGGTCGGGAATTGACTGGCCAACAATCTGAAGRAAGAGGATTTGTAAATATTGAGACAAAAAGTTCCCAAAATGAGGGTCAGTGGCGCCATCAGTCCAAATATGACTATGGAAAGCTTCATGAACAAGGTGGTAGTCGAGATTTTCTGGAAAGTGATCAYGAAAGGGGSTATGATGGTCCAGGCCAACAGTCACWGACGAAACATGGCCATCAAAGCGACAAGTTTCATCCAATAGATGAACGAGACACCTCACGATATGAATCTAGCGGTCAACAAAAGTCCACTCAAARTGCTCTTATGCGAGATCAATATTACGTCACGCCTGGAAATGAGAACGATCTTCGAACGGAGATCAATCAGCTAAGGAGCGAAAATGAAGGTCTGAAGGCAAAGATTGAAGCTATGGAAGAGAACATTGATCTTCACAAGAAATACAAAGCCGAAGCGAAAGATGAGTTGAATAGACTTCAGAAGACAAAAGAAGAGCTGCAATCACGACTGGACAAAGGCAACAAAGACGAAGAGGATGCCAAGAGAGCCAAACTCAAGGYTGATAAACTAGAACAAAGTCTTAGGGATAGCGAAGCCCGGCGCAAAGAATTCGAGGCCAGAATAAGAGARTTGAAGTCTAAGTTGAGCGACGCTGAAGACAAAGCAAAACAGTCCAAAGACAAGACAGGTGATCTTGAGGATAGGATGGGAGGACATGCAAGAACGCACGRAAAAGGGACTGGCGAGGATTACAAAAGRAGATCATATAGCGGGCATGATAAATACTCCCAGGATGCACCAAACGATGGAGCCACAGCTCTCGAATCGTGTCCACTTTATTCAGAACATACTACCTTTGATAAATATGGAAAAACTGGTGGGTACTCGGATACAGATGACAAGCAAGAGAACGTCTATGGTTATCCTGCAGAACTAAGCCAATCATTGGACTTCTTAGAGTACAAGAACCCTCTAGATAATGGCACAAGAGATTCACATCTTATCAAAAAAAATCCTGAGCCCTCTTGGAAGAATTCTGATTCAACAAGAGGAAAATATTCTAAGGGTTCTCATTATACTTCAAAACACAAATCAGCATCAAGACCAGAAGTGTCTTYAATGTCATCGCCCCATCCTATGTACGGCAGCCATGAGCGACTTGGAAGGAGGCCTGACAAGACCGAGAAGACTGGACGCTATAGCTCTTTTGGTGTTGGGAATGATTTTGGATTGAATACGTCATCACCAAGGAAACTGGATGGGCGTAGCTATGGTAACGAAGGTGTCTCGACAWCAAAGGAAAACAGCTCAGCTAACAAGGTAAGTGTCATGAATTGATACTGTTTCTTCAAAAATAATTACTTGGCCAAYTTCATYCGTTTGTCTAATGGACACGTACTTCACAGGAAAACTACGAGAAAGCTGTCGCTGAGAGAAACAAGCTCGCACAACTCATAAAACAACTCAAGCTCAAGGTGGAGGAACTGTACTCAGAAAAACAACGAATCGATAAGGAACAGGTAAATAATATCGCAGGATAACCATAGGCAGCTCATCTATTCATGAAAACCCCTTAGTGGGCAGAGAAGACTCAGTTATTGACTCATGAACTTGTTATCGTCGGAATCTCTAGAGCTTACTGACTGTGGGCTGAAGGAGAATATTAGGCGTTTGCATCGGAACCCAACTAACTTATACATTTTTTTACTTTGTAGTCTAAAATACGAAGCGATCCCATAGAGTACCAGTTCTTTGGTCCAAGCGACAGTATATCAAGCAGTGAGCACGCCGACCTCAAGGCAAAAGTCGAGGACATGCAAAGAAAAATACGAGTCTTAGCAGAAAGGTTAAAAAGAGATTCTCCACGAGGGGTAAGGTTTTCTTTGTTGTGCTATGGACTGCTATAGCAGCTCTTTGGTAAAATAACTCGACCTTGCCTGTCATTGCTGCAAAAAGTCGACCGTCGCTTACTTTGAATTTTTTTTATTCTTGTGTGAAAACAAGTATGATTTACGACTTTGAATCTATCAATTACCCCACTGCCAACTACTARCATCTTTACTGCTCGATACTTAAGATTGAAAACGTTTCCTTGTTCTCTACAGAAGCACATCTCCTACGATCAGAATGACAACTACACGTCAAGTAAGCCATCAATTCAAGACATTGAATACCTACAAGACAAGCTCCAGCGTACAGGAGATGCCATMAGCCACACCCATGGCAGTTCAGACCCTGACGTACTTCTGAGAATCGAAAACGAGGTCAAAGCRATCGGTGAGCTCATAAAGAGACACTGCCAAGAATTAGAACAAGATGGTGGAGTTATGTACAGATCGGACGGTGATAACGTGAAAATGCTGCAGCTACAGATGGAGAAACAAGAGCTTGAAATGAAGCTGAACATGGCAAAGGAGGCCATGAACGATTACGTGAGCAGACTTAGTGATAAGGTAGGTCTGGGGATGGGATAAGCTACAATAGCCTTGTTCCCAGGCTACTATCCATTAGCTCCAATCCAAGATGTCGGAMCTCTAGGGAGGCCTGGCGACGAGGATTGAGACAGAATCAGATGAAGCTATGTAACTTATAGAAACAAATTTTTATTTATTTTCAGATGGAAGGCCTGGAAGAGTCCAACGCGCTCTCCGATGCCACATTACAAGAGCTCTACGAGCGAAACGCTAAATTAAAAGAAACGCTTAAAGCACTAGAGAAAGGCCAGCAAAGATCTCACAGGCAAAACGAAGAGCTACGTCATCAGACGTCAGCACTGCAGAATGTGATTGGCCAGATCTGTAAATCCAGTGACACGTCATTTTGCTCCCAGTACTCCACCCCACGGCAGACCGGTAGTCATGGTTACACTATGACATCACAAGGTCATTCGACGAATCATGGCATGGGAATCAGTGATCGATTTAGATCGTATTAAATTGAAATTTTTAGGAAAACATATGAAATTATACTTGCATTTCTWTTGGGAAGACAACAAATTCTTGTCATTGCAAGAGAGTAGAGAAAATATGCGGAACTTACAGTCTGACGGTTAAGTCCGCCTCGGCTAAAATGAAAAATGATGAACTTTTTTAAACAGTGAGTTTGGATCAAGTTAAAGTCGATTTTCCAATTTTTCCAATTATACAGTATTAGAAATACAACAGTGTAGACATGAATAATGTAATCTAGTTAGAGATTGTGGATGTTTTGAAGAAAAACAGTAAAAGTAATTTATAAAATTTTAAATACCTAACACACGGGTAAATTTTKATATGTAATGCGCTAATCAAATTTCCATACTGACATGACCGCCACTTATTTGCGGATGAGTCAACGTACTGTTTAAAACGTTAGCGACGCGTTATCTTTGAACAGTTACTGAATTAGTTAATTATTCTTACTTCAAATAGCAAATTGAAAATTCTTCCTTCTATCTTACGCATGTTTTACTTTTAAAGTGATAATTCGTGTCTAAACTGGCACGCTCCCACTTACACACACGAGTCCCATTCCTTCCCACAWTTCCCACTTTGTTACMACTCATCTCSTCTCCTATTTCGSAATGTATCTCCGTCTTTTCATTACTTGCGATATGGGAGAGAGATGACTGAGAACGAGTCAGTAACAATCCAATAATTCAATAAATTGCAAAAATATGACAAAACGCAGCGTGTAATTTTGAAATAGCATTGGAACCTTTGAAAAAGACCACGTTTAAATTGCCCAACACTTTTCCAAAAATTAAGATACMCATGTGGGCGGGGGGAGGGATGCGGTCAAAATCTACTAGTCAAAAGGGGACAGRGGAAATGTGAAAATATAGATAACCAAGCTGCATCAAGCCTGTTTCATATGCCGTCAATGACAAGAAGACCAAAACAAAAGTTAAAGCAATGAGTGTATTCAGAACATTTTAGATTCGTTACAGTAAACGCGCTTTCGTTATTACTTCGCGCAYGGTCTGAAGAGTGGGCTTCGTCCAACTGTGAAACAATTACTTATAGTTAATTTCGATAATTATCCAAAAAACTATGGACTATCACAAATCCAGGGCCGGATTCTTATTGGCTACTGAACTAATGGTCAAATTATGGTCTTTCACGTCGAGTGGAGCGAAAACAGTCGAACTAATGTTGATTCAACAGTGTGTTTTTTTTTGTGTGTGTGTGGTTTTCTTCAAATTTGTCATGCAAAATGGTGTATCGACGGACACATGGATCAGCTCGTAKCTTTTCTCGCTCGTAGTCCACTCGCCCTTGAGGTCTAAATAGTCACATTTCAACCAAATCTAACAACAGTCTTTTTATAAGCTTAAAGTCTACTGAGTGCTTTTTAGGATAATTAACAATTCTAAAACACTGTAATTTCGTTTTCTGGCAGGAGTTTTCACAGATACTAAAATAAATAAAGGAACATGGAAGAAATTCAAGTGTCAGACTGACAGTAGCTTGTGGAGCACCAGTCGGTATTTCTTAGTAAAAAGAAAAAAGAAAAAAAAATCCGAAAAAAATTCAAATTAGAAAATAAGCTCCATTGACAACGTTCCTAGCATGAAAAAAATTATTCTTAATTAAACCTAAAATTGTTTGAATTTACCAAAAAACTATTATTTTTGATTAAAAAGCAGCGTTTTCTCGACGACAATATACCCAAAAAAATACCGCGCAAAAACCTCAGCTTTCTTGTTAGCAATATTCAATCTGAAGTTCTTATTTTAGCAAATAATTTAATATGTATGTTTTGTCACCTTGAATTTGGAATGTTGGCGTTTTACCAGCTAAAGAGAAGACCCGCAGACCATAGGAAAGATAAAATAAAAAACCAACAATTGTTAAATAGCATTCTTATAATAATCTCGTAAGACAAAGAGACCCGTATCGCAGTATTAACCGTTTTTGTGGTCACGAAAATTACAATCTTTTGTAATAGAATTGTTAACAAGTAGTATTACTTATGCATTGTGGTAGTATGAATTATCAGMCTTTGGGTGAGTTTTCATTAAGTACGTATTTTGCCACATATATTTTKCCATGACGACAMAGTTACGATCRTTWTTACCAATAACACAAGACCGCAAATAATATCATGGGCCTCGATTGTGGTGAGAACAAGGATATCACATAAAAAGGCAGACAGATTCAGTTTGAATGATGTTGGATGCTATAAAACACGTATAGTTGCCAAATGTTCTCACAGGTGAACGTCGAAAGCTGAATTTGTTTYACACTTCGTTGACAAAAACTACAATTTCAAATTCAGAAAATATGGATAATCGAAATATGATTCTTAGCAATAATAACTTCGTTGGAGTCTCGAAAGGCACCAGAAACCATAACCTAGTRCAGCTGGATATCGGGAATTTGGCAGCCGAATCTATGTCCTCTTTTATTGAGGAACGGAGCCGAGAATTCAAAACCACTGCAACGCAAACGAACTTCGAAGATTTTATCTGTCTTCAAGTGAAACGCATTGAGGAAAAACACGAAGCAGAGAAGAAAGCAATGRAGGTTGAGTTTGMTAAAGAGAAAAGTGAGCTGAAAAAAGCTTATAAAGATCTTCTTGAGGAGAAAAATTTATTAATAAGCAATTTAACAAGCGAGAAAGAYTTTCTATGGGAAGAAATTCGACATTTTAGAGATAATTCTGCACTGTTTGAAAATACTAATTSTGATGATCTTGACTGGGATCCAGAATGGGACCACTCTGATCTAAATGTACCAGGAAAAGTCACWAAACCAATGGTAAAAACAATGGTACCATTGAACGTCCAGGAAAAGGAAATAGCGCTTTGTTCWATGATGGCGCTGCGCAAAAAGGTCYTAAAACGACAGTACAAAAGGGACAAACAAGCTGTTTTGGATAAAGTAGAGATTGAAAAAGATYTGATAAGAGAYGAGATAACGTCYGAGCTGGAATCTCGGTACAGCGATGAGATTAGCAATCTTAATGATATCATATATGGACTCAAAGAAGCATTGGAAAACATGAAAACACAGAAAGATGASCTGGCGAAAATATTTCAAGGAGAACGGAACGCACTCGAGATGGGATTCTCGAGGAAAGAGCAGGAACTCAAGGACAAACTGACCAGGGATTTGCAGCGTGAGCTTGTAAAAGCGCACCAGGATTGGTCGAGAAGTAAAATATAACGCGCTATGTGATTGGTGGAGGGTCCATTCTCAAGTGACTAGTGACTGGTTAAATTGCTGAATTTAACAAGCTATCTCATTGGAGGASCGCTGGTTGTCTGGAGAAATGGTAAAATTTCATGCGAAGTCAAGATCCGAAATGAATCGCCGAATCGTAAAAATTACTATTGATTGGTGAGCTAACCGAATAGTACAATTTACGCGCAATTTGATTGGTGGATATTTGGAAAAGTATAATCTAATGCGATATCTGATAGGCTGGAAAGGTATTCGTAAAATTTAACATTTCATGCGATTGGCAGGCTGGCCGGATGCAAAAATCTAAACTGCAATCTATGATATTTGATTGGTGGACTACTGTACTTGAGCGTGCAAATGTCCCTGAAAAAAAATCGAATGTTAGTTTACATTTTAGTATGAATTTGAAAAAAATAACTTAGGATTTTATTGACATTACTCGTTATTTTTATGCTATCAAAACTATTATCACAGATAGGTTAAAACTGCTTGGTATTGTATTAAAATAAATTACACAGAATAGGCAATAAACCACGACCAACTGATAACCAGATACAATGCACAGCTGTACAAACCATTGACAATTATTATTTCTTCGCGATTTCAAGTAAAATTATAAAATATCCACTAGGCAGGCGTTGTGATAATGACGCGAAGTCGACTAGTTTACACATTTCCACTAGTCCTCCCACCCACTCCCCCCTAAGGTCACGTATACATACAAGGCTTCCGCTACTCGGCAAATACTGATACTAATTAAATTACATCTTATTCAATTATATTAAAAACATGCATTCAAATGGACCTTTTACCGTTATGGCAGCAATATTATAGATGCTAACCCAGGATCAAAATTATTATCACCATCCAATAATATGTGCAGTGACGTCATTTTCTACGAMAAGAATGATGGGAAATTTTGTCCTGGCACTTGCTAAATCCCGAAAAGACCCGCGGTTTTTATTTTCTTTACAGATAATGACTTGCTTTAGTGTAAAGAAAATTCAAAAACGGATTTTGCATTTTATTTTAGAGGAGATAAAAAGTYGGCATAGAGTAGATTTTTCATATTTTCTGTTTTGAAGAAAATGGCGACCTATACAACTGCCATAATGGTAAAAGTCTTTCTTGTCATTCAAACTTGTCTTGTTATTTTTGGATGCTGTTCCTCCATTCTTTTAAGATGTTTTCTGCTGTTGTAATTGTTTTTTCATCCTTATAAAAAACACAAAGTTGCTTATTAAATCAATATCAATATCGCATTTACGTTTTACATGTAGATGTTTGAGCCTTCATAACTCACGCAACCTTGAAATGAAGGAATATTTCACCATTCAATTATTTCTTTTAAAATGAATAAACTCTACAAAAATTATTGTATTTTATATGGACTCTAAATTTCTATTTGAAGACACTAGAAAAATAGAGTACAAATAGTGCTAAATTACGCCAATTACTCATATGAAACACGTTTCTAATAAATCTAAGAATTGATACAAACCTTCATAAGGCAAACGCGGATGTGGGTTCCAGCTAAAGACTTATTTTCATCGCTGTAAAAAGCACTTGGTGGAACCACAGCAATTCCCTGGCAAAATACACACAAATCAATCAACAGACAATTAGATCGACATTAAATGAAACAAATAAAAGATATTAAATAAATGAATGAGAATTGAATAAAAAGTAGATAAGTAGTATAGCGATACTCAATGTGACGTAAGCCTTTGTTGTTCATGTGCCATCCAGAAGACGACTGGATGTTATAGAACAAAGTGACTTGTGAAAAGCCATTCTTATCATGGTTGGCACATTAATATAAAAATGACTTTTTTGATAAACTTTGAGCATCGCTATACCACAACCAAACGAATACGAAATACAATACATTAAGATTATCTATTCCCAGCTTGACTCATCTACAATTCACTCAACAAAAATATCTTAAGTCAGCTATTTCAGCAGTTCTAACCTTTTCTTTACAAAGCCAACGAATAAACTTGAAGTCCAGCAAATCATTGCTCTTATCATACTCATTCAAATCAACACCTGTTAAAATACAACAAATTAAATAGAAATTTCACTTTTCAAAGGATCTGTCCTTGAGGTGAGGTGACACAGGAAGGATCTGTGCTTGAGGTGAGGTGACACAGGAAGCCCAACTATAATATGAAGAATATATGAAGAATATTGCATCACATCACCTGTATCAACCTTGGAAAAGTCCACCATCATGAAATACCCTCCCTCAGGGATGAGAGGATGAAATCCCAACTCAGAGAAGAAGGCTGCCATTCTCCTCATATTTTTTTCTGTTGACTCAGCGTTTTGTGCAAAGGTACTGTCCTTGGTACCAAGCAAAGGTGTCTCTCTTTCAATACATGCAGCAATAGCTTCCTGGAAAAGACCAGACAACTACTATTAAATTGATGCTCTGTCAGATTGTGATGAAATTATGCTAAGGACCACTATCCAAGTTTTCTACCTTTTCTACAGTATACAATTCATTCTTTCAACAGGATCATTGGCAAAATTGACAAATGTTGGATGTGTCGTATCACTTAAATGATTTTATCCTAAATTTAAAAAAGACTCACTTTCGAATACAAAAAATTATCCTCTGATTAAAAATTTTTAGCATTTACGAGTTAYGAGTTATGTTTATTRTATATAGTTTTCCAGTAATTTCTGACCTGTGTTGGGGTAGGAACATGAAAAGTACAATCAGTATGAATTGCYTGGACACAATTAATTAGTTCTGGTGCACCAATAACCCAGCCAACCTTAAAAGAAAAARAGATTTAAACGTTTAATCCCTTGAACAAGTCACCAWAGCAATGATTCATTGAGCCTCCTCTGCAGTATYGGGCTTCCTTTGTAACACCAATGCCTACAGAGGAGCCTACTGAATTACAGAGTGGAAAAACATTTGTGACAAACAAAACTWTGCATGGATTAATTGAGCCTSTTTTTGCTGTTGATGATAAAAACRRCCTATTCCTAAGACAGTTCCATACTTCTACATTCATTGACCAGGTATTGAGACTGACAAATACTACACCAGGAACAGGTTTAACAGGTTTTAATCATGTTACCTGGCTTTCATATCTTTCACACTAAATAACAAATCTAAGGAACACTTAAAATTTAAGGATTTCAGGCATAAAAAGTATAAATGGTGTACCTTCCATCCAGTAACACCAAATGTTTTGCCYCCACTGCTGATTGTAAGGGTTCTCTCCCACATTCCAGGTAGTGTTGCTGTGTAATCAAAGTCACATATACAATCATTTTACATTGCCCTTTGTTTCTAGTCTAAATTCATACAATGCTTACCTATCCTTGTGTGCTTTACACCGTCAAAGACCAGCCATTCATAAACTTCATCACTTATGCAAAGCAAATTATGCTTTTTACACACATCTGCTATAATTGTCAGTTCATCTAGACTAAACACCTGTTGAGAACAAGCCAAGATAAAGATTGTTTTTCATTCAATCAATGGAGTATGCAGAGGTTCATGTGTATCTACCTTGCCAAGTGGATTATGTGGAGTATTTATGACAATAGCTTTGGTTTTGTCRCTGATTTTGGCCTCAAGTGCATCTTTGTCAACAGTCCAGTCTTTTGAAGATGTTGCTCCTTTTTTCTATTTGAGTAAAGAAATGAGAGTCTTCTTCACAGTTCCCTGAGCCATATTTAAWGTTAGCTGTGTCTTTGCATCAAAGCAAGATGACCAGTGAGCTTGCAATGAAAAAAAAAAACTGTCTTCCACACAAACAGAGAGTTATTCACAGGTTTTTATCAATGCATACTCACCAGTTGTCTCAGTTTTCAAAGCAAACGAACAGAATACCTTTCAAAATGATGCAGGGAATCATAAAGGAAACTAATATTCATACTAGGTAATTGCATATTCAAAACCTTTCTCACTTTAAAACAGTATTACTTACAGCAGTCAAAGGRAAGAAAACAGTCTTTCCTCCAGCAAGTTTGATTTGATCTTTGTAGCAGTCATAACATGGATCTAGTAATATAACCTTTTGAAAAACAATATCAGTATATCTACCTTGAATTCACAAAATAATTAACTATACACAAATTCTCTCCTTTGCTATTTTTGAACCATCAAACACATTCTTGGGTGGTTAAATACATCATTTATGAGTCCATTTAATAAATAATTAGTACCTTATTCAAAAATACGTATTACAAACTCAAGGTAGGCTAGACAGAAGCCTAATGAAGAGCTTACTTCAGTTAAAATAAATAAATAAATATTTACCTCATCTCCAGGATTAACAAAAGCCATGAAAGTAGAATACAATGCTTCATAAGCACCAACTGTCACAACTATCTACATGTAGAATTGCAGAGATTTAAAAGAAAATGGTTTAGAACATTGTTTTCTTAAGCTAGCAGTCTACCATGACTCTGTCATTGTACTTGTTTGTAATTTGAAAGTGCTTAGAGCAGATTTGTATAAGCGCTATATAAAAATAAAATTATTATTATTATTATTATTATTATTATTATTATTATTATTATTATTATTATTATTATTATTATATTAGTTTAGTTTACACAATGACATACATACAATGTAACTAGAAGCAGACAGCTGACTAACACTTGACATACAAAATGTAAACAAAATCTTGATCAAAATCTTTATGTTGCTCTGGTTTGTACACTAATAATTTTACAACATAAACAGAAGACAGTAGCATGTATGACACAAAAAATTACATGTACCTTCTGCTTGTGTCATTGTGTGAACTAGTGGCCCTAACACTTATAGAGCTGATTTGTTTTTAGTTAAAACACCTAAAAGTAACTTACTTCATTCATAGGATCTATTTTGCGACCATGGAGTTTGCTGAACATTGTTGCTAATGCATTGACAAGCCTTGGAAGTCCCTACAAATACACAACAACATTTAGCAAAAGTAAATTGATTTTAAGAAACTTAAAATAATTGAGGATAGATGTTGTTGTCTTGTTTCTCAACCTGCGAATGGTTAA